ATTTTAACAACATCCTGAACAGTGTTCTTCCCGGTCTTCGGAATGGCTGTAGGGGGTGTGTGTGTGACTGTAACAAATGCGTATGGTGAGTGGGTGCCAACAAATTAACTCCATACTCTTGAGGATGGTATCGTTGATACATTTGTACATTTGTTAGGAGGAAACTCTTACTCTGTAAAACCTCTCTATTTTCTCCCTAACTACTTCTTTTGAAAGATACGGTGTTACAGAGCTTTGTATCTGTGTGGCAATCACCTGGCCAACATTGCAAGACTTGGGGAGGAATCCAGAGTCGGGTGGCCTTGTGAAACACAAGATGGAATAGAAAATAAAGGATAATTAAGTGGTAATAAATATCCCATGTAGTACCCATACTGTTCCAACTTTAATCACCTATTGAACGGGGTTGGTTTATAATTTATATCTCTTTAATTAGGTTTCAAAAAGATCAGCACTTAACCTGGGTTCTGAACAGTTTTTTCCTTTTCCCTTCCAAATGCTGAGCACTAAAAGCCAGTGACAGATGCACGACCCCCTAGTCACATAATCTAAAAGAAGGTTTTTAATAAGAAAAAAAGCTTGGTGCAAATCCACAATATTTAAAGGCTGAATCACTGCTTTTATCTGTTTAAAGCATGATGCTGACTGTGAAACAATTGGAGAAAGAAAATTAACGCAAAGCAGCAGCTTTCTTATGGATAATATTAACAAATTGGTGAGCTAAGAGGGTGGGACGAAGCCCTCTGACATTTCCAGAGCACAGAAGGCAAAGGGTGCTGCTGTGTGGGGTAGCAGAGCCCTCCCATCTCACGAGGAGGAGGCTGCAGTAATGTAACATTAAGCAGGGACAGGTTCTTATTTTGGGAATGCCTGGGGTAAATGTGGGGGCAATGTTAATATGATTTAAGCTGCTATTGGATCTGGGCGGGCAGGCTTGCATGCCCCAGTGGAAAGCACAGCTTGTCTGCCTGTGTCTGATGACAGGGTTGGAGCTATCCTGGGATGCTTAAAATCAAAATACAATCCTTCAGCCTTATGAAGGAGTTCACAACTGCCTGCAGATGATCTCAAGGGTTTTTTTTTTTTTTTTGACATTTAATCCGCTGAAATTATTTTCACTTCTGCTGTACTAGCCACCTGTCTGTAGGAATAATTGTACATCAAAGTAAAATTTAATGCTTTAAATTCACTGGTACTCGGTCTTCCGTAAAAATTCCCTGTGTCAGAAGAAGGAGGAAGAGGCAGGGTGCTGCTGAAATTACTGCAGCTGTAGAGATTAGTTCTGTCAGCTAGGAGTGTATGCAAAATTACTGGAGCATTTACACTGCTGTTCCCCAAGATGGCATAAATGGCACAGCACTCCGATGGTGCCTGCCGTCCGTGTGCCTATGGAAGGGGCCACATCCAGCTCCTTCTCACCCATGGGAGTTGGGTGTCGGAGGATCAGGCTCCCACGCTTAGCATCACATCGGTATCACTAATTGTGCAAAGATTGGTATGTAAGCATCCAAATGCAATTTAATAAAACCATTAGAGTAATTCATGGGACACTTTCTTTCTGAAAATGAATTTGTAATGATTTGTAGCAAAAGGAGAATGTTGTTTGCAGGGCCTGAGACTGGCGTTACGAAGTGTAATGGCTTGAAGCTTTAAGAAAAAGGGGGGTGTGTAGGTTGGGAGATAAAAACAGTCTTAACAGTAAGGGCCATTAGGCAGCGGAATGGACTTTGCTATCTGGCAAGTCGGAGCTATCACTGGAGGTGTTTGTGTTAGATAAAATGCTTAGAGGGGGTGGATTGGGAGGCAGGGGGTAGGATTTGATGACTCACAGGACCTTTTCCATTGCATTTATGGAGCCAGAAATGTGTGGCAGTTGAATTCGTGCTAGTGTCTGGTCCGTAGGCTTGTGGTGTCTTTCCAGGCGTTCGTGTCTCTGCACCCACCATGCTTCTGGAACACGCACGGTTTGCACAGCTCCTCACATTTGGGGTCTGGGTCTCTTGGGTGGTGCTGCTGCAGAAGAGGGTCCTTCAAGCAATGGCGTGAATAAACCCCAAACGTATTCAGAGGTCAAAAAGCGCTGTCTCTGTTTCATTGGTGTCTGCTGGGGCTGGGATCAACGAGATGGGTTGGTGGCTCCTGGGGGACTGGAGTCCTGGGCATTAAAGCCTCCTTTCCTTACTGTTGGGACTTACAGATGGGACTGTTTGAGTCCATCTGCCAGCTGGGAAAGCCACATGCAGAAAATAGGTGGCAGATGGGAGTCAGGCCCCCATTCCCTCTGTAGCAACGCTCTGTGCCAAGAAGGACCTTGTCCCTGATAGCTTTTAAGAGCCTGTCCTCCCTGTATTGACCTGTTGCATTTATGATGATGATTCTGGTCACCGGTGTTAGTTGGCTGTCTCTGTAAAACATTTTAAGCTGTCAGAGTTAATTCCCAGGCCTTTTCCTCCTCCTCCGTGATTGCTCTGCTACAGCATGTGTCTGTCTTCTTACTTTACAAAAATAAAAATCCATTTAAGGGGAGAAATTGGCTTAATTGCTAAAAAGAAGGATGTGATGCGAGTAGATGACCTTGCTGCTTCCTATCCCTGGCTTTAACTTGCACAGATCTCTTAATTGCCGACTCTGATTTTCTATATTGGCATTTCCATTAATCGTGGAAGGCTTTTTTTTAAAATTTGAAATGTGTCCTAATATAATAAATGTATGATGGAATAAGCTTTGTATTAACAAGAAATTTATGGCTGTTAAAGGGACCATGCTAAGCATTTTTGTGGTGTAAATTGACTTGGATTGGACTTTAAAAAACCTCTTTAACTTGCTGTTATAGAACTACTTTTCTCATTAATGCAGTGTCTTGCTGTTACGTGGTTTTATGGTCCCTGTTATTTTTTTGATGCATGAAATACCTGTTGCTGTGCTCCTCTGGAGTGGGTTAGTTCACAAACCACTGAGACTTGATCTTTAGATGTCAGTGGTGATGGCTCTTGTCGGAGGGCTTGATGAAGGAATTTGTGCTGCGCATCCTGCTTTGCAGAAGGGGAAACTGAGGCAGCTGGTAGAGATGGAGCTGGGATGGTGTTGTGGGTCCAGCCGTGGTCTGGGGCTCTTTCTCCCCTTTTGCCATGCATTGTTTTGCAGCGATGGCAGGGCTTGCAGTGATTAAAGCTCCGTTCCATACATGAAACGCATGTTGCAGGTGAAGTGTTTCATGTTGTTTTTCCCAGACTGTGCCAGAGGAAGGGATGGAGCTGGAGGGAGGAGGGTTTCTGCTGTCGCTGCTCCCGAGCCCTGACAGCTGGTTTTCCCTTGGCGGTGTGCATGACTCTTCTTCAGTAGGTACACGATTGGACTGACATTAATATTAATATTAATCCTATTCTTCTACAGTAGACTTACAAAAGTGACTTTTGACACTTTCTAGTAATTAGTGAGAGAGTGGATGTGGTAAAAGTCTCTTAAGAAGGAGAGGAGAGGGGAACCTGGAAGGATGCGTAATCCTTCCAGAGCAAAGGTGTAAATTACCAAACTTGCTTTTATTGAAGGGGGGGGGGGAACCCCTCTATAGCAAATGGGAAGGCAAAGTGAGGGCTGAGGGGTGTGTGGAGCCTTCGCCCTGTCTGGGTTGTTGGTCTCTGGCTTGGGGACTGCTTCCTAATCCTGGTTCTGGGCAGTGCTGAGCCTGACAGGGAGCTGCTCCTGCTCTGGGCACGACACAGTTTGGGTGGCAGGTGCTGAAATCAAAGGTTCTCGCTGGTGTCTGGCCCTGGATAGCTGTTTTTAGTGGAGTTGTTGCTTACTGTTTGAATCTCTAACAGCAGCATCGGATTAGACATGCTTTGCATGATGAGGGCTATCTGCTTTTATATCAGCCTGTTGCTCTGCTTGTGTTTGTGGGGCCACAGTTTGCTATTGAAAGTTAATTTGAGAATGATGCTGCTCTCAGCTCTTCTGTTCTATCTTCAATTGTCTGAATCTAAAAGATGATTTTTTTTCTAGATTTTATTTGTCATTTCTTAGCTAACAACACTTTTCCTAAAATTGTCAACTACCTCCAGGAGTAAGAGCTTTGGGAATGTCAAAACCCAAAGTTTAGCATCATTGACCAGTGCGTTGAGTTACAGCTTGAGATGCCAGAGCAAGCGATGTTCCTCTTGCCTTTGTCCCCTGGCTTTATTACCATTCTGGTGAATGGGTGGAGGTGCTGCCCATGCAGTGGTGGAGTGTCTGCTGCTGAAAAGGCACTCGCCTTTTTCAGTGTTCAGTGCATGGCTCAGGACCTGTCCCTTGGCAGTGGGGCTTGAACAAGTGAAGCGATGGACCTTGGGCTTTGCCTGTTGCAATGGAGGAGGGTGAAATTGGTGGGAGGACTCAGGTGATACGTGCAATTTAGAAGTCTGCACTAAAAAAAAAAAGTAAATTTTTATTGTTGTGCCCTCCTGTTGTTACTGTTAAAGCTGCGGATACAAAAGGATGGAGATCGCAAGTAAATAGACATTTGTTTTAAGCTAGTTTTGAGTCTTTATGCAAATTACAAGCATATCCTTCATGCTGAAATATGGGCATTGCTCTGTTCATTGTAAAACCACACCTTTAAATCCTGGCTCCTTTTTCCATCTCCCACTCCATCTCTCCTGGCTGCCCGCAGCTCTGTACCGATGTGCAGGTAGGCATGCAGGAGACCGCAGGGCGATGCTCTGTATCGCTCGCCTCGGCACCAGCACATCAGCGGATGGAGTGTGTGGGAGCTAAAGCAAGCAGTGTGCTGGCAGGCGTGCACAGCCAGCTCTCGGGGGCTATTGCTCAGCGATCCTGGCTCTGACTTATCAGACTTCTCCTTTGGCCAAGCGGCCTGCTCAGGACAAATTCCAGAAATGTCATCAACTTACCCAAACAGAAATTGCAGTGATACCAACGTATGGAATTAGTTTCCTCTCTGCTCCCAGCAATTCCACCTCTTAATGCAATTTTTCTGCCCTTCTTATGTCTCTTTCCAGGATCTGATCTGCAGGTATGTATCCCAAAGGGCTCCACGTGCTGCTCGAGGAAGATGGAGGAGAAGTACCAGGCAACAGCCCGCCTGAACATGGAGCAGCTCCTGCAGTCTGCCAGCATGGAGCTGAAGTTCCTCGTCATCCAGAACGCTGCTGTCTTCCAAGGTGAGCGCTGGGGATGGTCCAGGCATGTGGCAGGAGGAGGAGGCACTTCTGCTCCTCTTCCTCGTCCCCAGGCAATCGGAAGTGCAGGTGGCTGGAAGCTTTCTGTGCACTTGTTTTGATATGTTTGTATATATTATATATGCTTATTTATGATAAATAATACACCTGGTTTGGTATATGGCTGCTCTGCAGGGCTTGTCCTAAATATTCCTGTAGCTGAAACAGCAAATGTAAATTTAAAGACTAAACCTCTTCAAGTGCAAATTTAAAAAAAAATGAAAAACCCACTTCTCCAAGAATTAAAATATCTGTGCAAGTACAGTCTTGTCTGATTCTGCCAGTCCCAAAAAACAGGTAATATGACCTGGTTGTCACCCCAGTCTAATGCTTGGTAAGCATCTAAAACGTGTGTATTGATTATTGTTATCCACCGCAAAACAAAGCTGGTTATTCCACGTGAAGGTGGGTAGAGGCTGCCTCGTTCACAAGTACAGTCCCTGGTGCTCGCCATGGGGTGTTTGAGTGCTTGGTAACCTGATGCTCTCTTCTTTTTCTAATAATAATATGATGTATTGTCTTTTTTAGCAAAACTGATCTTTGACAAATATCTCCTATTGTGGATGCACACTAGTTTGTGTCACTTAAATCTGCAATTTTTTTTTAGGTCCTTTACAGAAGCAAAGCTTATTCCATCCATGGTTAATGTGCAGTGAAATGATTGCTTGTTTGTTGAGTGCTCTCCTGTTGAGGTTCCATCGTTCTGTATTAATGGCGTTTTTGCCTATGCTTAAAAAAAAGGCATGAGCAATCAAGCATTTTTCCCCTTCATGCTGATATTTTTGCAGAATAATTGATTTGTTTTTGTTCAGACCTCACTAACAGCAAGACCGAAAGCCTGCTGAAGCCTGTGAGATCGTGGCAAAGCTCTGTTCTGGTTCACAACTGACTGACGAAGTCTAATATGTTATTTTTCTCGGTGTAAGATCAAATAAATTGCTGAGGAGGTAACAGTGTATTTTTTTCCCAATACTTCTTGATGCAGTGACCATTAAGTTCCAATCTGCTAAACAGAATGGAGTAAAACTAATGAGAGATTGGTTCCCTAGGCATTGGAAATGTGGACTAGCTTCAGAAATGGTGAATAACCTGGCTGGAATACAAAGTGTCTGCCTACTCCCCTACCATTTGACAAAAACATTGCAACTTTAGAGTTTTTATCGCATGTGGGAATGACACCCTGTGTTACTACAGGTTGTGCACAGCACAGCGGAGTTGGGTGCTCTAGCTCTGAACTTTCTGCCTCTTCTGCAGAGAGCTGAATCCCTTGCTCTGAATTTTGTTTTTTTTTTTCCAACCATAATTTCCATCCTGGCTGTGACAAGAGCCCTTTACCTGTGCAGGGGTTTTGGAGATGATGTTACTCTGAAAAACCTTGGTATGCAGAATTGCCATTCTTGGTAGTGCGGAAAAAAAGCATTTAATCTAAGAATTCCTCACCACTTCTGCTTATAACAAAAGCTCATGACTAATTTTCAAGATCTCTTGCAATCGCATCATAGAAGAGGAATTTCTAGCTGGAGTCATTGAGGAGCTCACTTTAATTACCTTGTATAAAGTGTTTTGGACTTGAGAATTGTGTACTCTTGTTGTCTTTAAATTTAGTCTCAAAGTCTGTAGAGGAAAACTTTTTTTAATAGGTGAATCTTTTGATTGCTGTTTGTTTAAGTATTTTGATGCCTGCTGTGCCAGAGCCTGTTCCAGCTATAGAAATTGTGCTTGGACCCAACATACAGTGGTCTGATTTCTTGTTTCTTGGCATTGCTCGTGGTAGAGGACGGGCTTCTACCCCAAGACATCACTAAGGGAGCTGGTGCTGGGGTTTAGTGTCTCAAATCGAACATGCTGTTTGTTTCCTCCCACATTGCCAAGGTGTATGTGCTATGGCAGCCGGTTGCAGGTCAGAAAACTTGCTGCTGCCCTGGCACAGCTGGAGAGTGTAGGATGCCTGGGGCTGTGCAGGCTGCGTTCTCCTATAGGGGGGATGCTGGAGCAGTCAGGGAAGAGGCACTAGTGACCGCCATTGGAGCCCCAGTGATCCTTGATCATCTCCTGCAGGTCCTGCTCCTGTACAATGTCTCTCCTCAAAGCTGGGGACAGATGTCCTGTGGCTTCAGGAACTGGGACCATAGGAGTGGGATAGCTCAAAGCAATGCCAGCTCTTACAGGCGTGCTCTGGCAGGGGAGAAAGCTCTCTGCATGTGTCTTCTGTTGGGTCAGACCCCAACGCCTGCTGGGGATCCTACACAGAGGATGGACAATTGCACTGCTCTCTAGAGTGGGGTAATATGTTGGTATGGAAACGTATCCTAGTCACTTATATTAGAAACACAAATATGAAATCCTTCAGTGTTAATTTTAATATTTTTAGCATGGCATCTTGTGCTGATTTTGGCTGCGGTAGACGAATTTTCTTCATAGTACCTAGTATGAGGCTGTGTTTGGGATTTGTACTGGAAACAGTGTTGTTTATAGAAAGATGTTTTCATTACTGCTGAGCAGGGCTTACACAGAGTGAGGGCCTTTTCTGCTCCTCACCCCACCCCACCAGTGAGGAGGCTGGGGTGCACGAAAAGTTGGGAGGAGACACAGCCGGGACAGCTGACCCCAACTGACCCAAGGGATATCCCATACCATATGATGCCATGCTCAGCATATAAAGCTGGGGGAAGAAGAAGTGGGGGGGACATCTGGAGTGATGGCATTTGTGTTCCCAAGTAACCATTACGTGTGATGGAGCCCTGCTTTCCTGGAGATGGCTGAACACCGGCCTGCCGATGGGAGGTGAATTCCTTGTTTGCTTTGCTGGTGTGTGCAGCTTTTGCTTTGCCTATTAAACTGTCTTCATCTCACCCACGAGTTTTCTCTCTTCTGCCTTTCTGATTCTCTCCCCCATCCCACTTGGGGGCAGTGAACAAGTGGCTGTGTGGGGCTCAGTTGCCGGATAGGGTTAAATCACAAGACATCTGAAGGGACTGCTAGTCTGACAAACAAAATCTCACCCAGATGTTATTATTTTGCACCAAATTTAATTTCTTCCCGCTGAAGCTAGAGCAGCATCTCTGCTGATAAAGATCAAGGGAAATTGTTTGGCATTTACAGAAAACCTCATCCAGGCCTATCTGTTACAATGTTCACTTAGCAAAGTTTATTAGATTATTAGTTTTAGACCCTTGGGCTTTTTCTTTATTGCAGTTAAGAAGGAAAATTCCCTACCCAAAAAATCTTCCCTTCACTAAATTTAAATGATACAATTAGCTCCTGGTCTTATCTTACAGGCATTTTTTAAAATTATGAAGATGATTTAAGTAGTGATTTAATCCTTTGGAAACTTGCTGCATTTGACTGTTAAAATGGATTGTAACTGCCTTGACTGCAGTTAAATCTTACTCTAGGATTTCTTTGAGGGCAGGTTTTTTCACTTTCACGCAATGTATCCGTGCTGGTGTCTGCCCGCATGTGCACCTCCCGGTTCAGGTTCTCAGCCGACGGCAGCTCCGTTGTGTACTGTGGAGCTAGGCTGAACCACAGCACTTCAAAACTTGCTCATGTGTCTTTTGACAAGTGGCATTTAGTATTGCTCTGGGGTTCTCATCCACACTAACTGGTGCGTTAGTGCAACTAACCTGCTGTGGCAAACGGTGAGAGCCCTGCCTACAGTTTGCTTTCTTCCCTCTCTTTCTACTGACCTTAGATCTTGGCTTTTTGGTAGGGGGGTTTCTGACCCTGCCACCACCTAATCTTTTTCTATTAAAACAACAACAAAATCAAAAAGGCCTCAACAAATCCTACTGATTTCTTAAATATTAAATCTGAATCCGAATAGCTCAGCTTTGTGAAACATACACTTGAACAGGAAAATACCAGAGTTCTTATTTTTTTTCCTCCTTCCTTCCACTAAAGAACTCTGTTCCCTGGGGTTGGGTTGTGTGCATGTTCGTCAGTCTGATGCCTCCTGCTTCCTAAGTTTGGGAATTTGCTTTTGAGTGATCACTTAATTTCTTGTCCTGCATATTGACCGTGTTGCACTGCGGATAACAGAAAAATTAAAGATTTAGCAGCTGCTGAGATGCAGCTTTCATGGTACACTCCTCCCAGTTATTTGTCCAAGTGAAAAGGTACTTTTTAAAAAGTGGAAAGACTGGAACACAATTAAGCACGGAAGGACCCTCTGAGGAAAGCGGATCATCTGCACTCATTGCTTTGTGTAGGACTTGCTGGTACTTTTCCCCCTCCAGCAAGTGTGAAGCACAGCTGACTACTAGCGGCTGCTTCTGCAGGAGTAATGCAGTGAGAAAGTTGCTTTCATTATTTTAAGTGATTGCTCAACTAAGCTATAAGCAGGATCTCACGTTGCCCTTCTGCGGCCTCTTCTGTCGATGCTAGTCAAATCCCGGAGAGGCCTCTCTTTGCGTGGTGCCAATGCTAGGCTGTCGGAGCGTGTCGGTGGCTGCTCTGTGATCTTCTGGCAGTGATGGTGAGGTTGCTAGAGCCAGCAGAGTAGCAGTGCCGTAAATCTTGAGATACACCGTATGCCTGTTTCTGACCCTGAATCGCTTGGTGGGCACAGGGCTTGCTCCCACCCGCTTCCCAAATAGCTCCTGTGGGGCTGCAGAGCTGCTGGGATTTTGGGAATATGGGGGATGGTGAGAAGGCACGAGTGCAGTTACCTGAACTGGAAAATTGGCCAGGATGCTGCAGTTGAATCCCCCTTGGTGAAAGCCTATAGGCTTAGATTAAGACCTGGTCTGTTCCCTCTCAAAAGCAATGGCATTTAACCTTCTGCAAATGGCAGCTGGAAGACAAAAGAAGCTCTGTTAGGTACCTAAGGGGAGCTTGCAGGGGCTATGGAGATTTGAGGAGCTTTTGGGATGTGTGTTTCAGAGTAGTTTCTAGGAAGACCGTGATAAATCAATATGGATAAACCTGCCTGTACGTGTTTG